TATATATATATATATATAGAGAGAGAGAGAGAGAGAGAGAGAGAGAAGTGAGTTATTATGCAACCCTTTACATTTGTACAACCAATACAACTAAATTTCAACCGTCCATTTAATTTGATAAATATGTGATTTTATAAAAGTTTTGATTGTTTTCTAATATAAAGTATTGATCATAATTAATGAACTCTAGTCATCTTCCATAAATATTCAAATCATAATAAATGAACTCTCATCATTTCCATAAATATCTCAGTTGATTGAGTTGCATTGGTTGTACAAATGAACATGGATGCATTTGAAATATACCCTATATGTGTGTGTATTGTCACACCTTATTTTCCTAGACCTTGACATGTATTGATAATAAAAAAAATATGTTTGGAATCAAAAACATTTTACAACTAATTACAGTTGGAAGACACAAACACCTGAAACAAGCACCAAATAATTGAAATACGTAAGAAGTTGGAACATTTGATATCATTGTCAATTTCGAAGTCTAATAAAAATACTGAACTGAAACAGTATCATCTTAATGATGTAGATAAGTTAGACTTGAACTGACCACATCTTAAGGGATTAAATAGGTTATTTGCCCTTGCCAGACGACCCCTTTTCTACTCCTGAGCTACATACTACTATTAGTCATATGCTAAGTAGGTTTTTGGTTTTAAGCTAACATCAACTGGCCACACTTTCTTTCAATAAAATGCGTATGAATTAGACTGGACTAAATTTTAGCACTGGCCACACTTTCTTTCAATAAAATTGTGTGCATGGAATGAAGAATAATTTAACACATCGCCTATGTGATTTCGACTGAACTAGCATAGTACGAGGGCCAATTGTCACAACTGAATCATCCAAGTATAGTGTTTGTATTATGTATTTATTGCATATGGCAAAACTGAACTACATTAATACAAAGATACTATCATAGTACACGTACTAAATATTAGCATCTTCGAGATGTCCCACTAGATACTACTGATGCCCAAGTACATGACCCTACACTCGTATCCAAACTAAACATGCATATCTAAACATTATAGTGTAAAGCGTTTAACATGCTATAGAAAAAACTGTAGACATATCACATGCATAAACCACATATGTAAATATTGCACACTTGTGAAAATACTGTTCATGTCCTGAAAATATTGAATAATAGTTGAAATGTAACGTGTACCATTCTATGTGTCACAACTTCAATCCCATAAAGCTTAACTCTCGTCCAATAAAGTCTAACCAAATTTGTGTGAATTTTATATATACAAGCCATACATGAAACTTATCTATCGTCCATTAAGGTCTACTGGATGCTACAAGCTTATTGACTAAGACCTAAAATTGGACCATTTTAAGCCAAATTGGTCAATGCAACATGGGTAATGCGATCTTAGGTGCTTGCCCCATATCACATACTGCTTTGCAAGCTATCTAACTTATCTGACACTTTTGGCAGTGACTGATCAAGGTAAATACCATGCAAGCTTGGCTTGCATCACTTGGTTGTTATGACTTGGCTCGCATCGGTTGGTTGTTATGACTTGGCTTGAGAGCTCTGTCTCACAACCGGCTTTACTTCTCCACCACTTGCATCTAGCAACCTTTGGTCGCACCACCAGAACACAAGACTTTGTCCATGACTTTTAGTTTGTTGCCCACTCTGTCCTGGCAATGTGAGCTTAACGAACATCAATCAATGGATCCATGTTGCATTTGGTGTACTGAACTTATTGATTCGATAAACCACACTAAATTTTAACTCATTTTGACTATATTTCTCTGATTCATTATTATAATGTTTGCTAACACCATTTAATACTGAAACAACACTTAAACTAGCAATTCATGCTCCAATTCTTGAGCTGATTTCATGAAGATGTCAAGAACATAAAAACTCCATTTTTGTTCAATTCTCGATCTAAAACCACATATTTCATGTCACTAACAATGCTAATCCCTTACGGGTTTGTAATGCTATTGAACCATGCATTGAAACAAGGATTTTGGCAATAAATTATATATCTTGTTCACTGATTATGCTTCCTAGACGACTGCACAATTTCAAATACCTGCTTCCTAGCTACTTGCTCTCCTTTAAGCTTTCTCTGATTTGTTCCTATCTATTTATTTGGCTATCTTGAGGAATGAAAATGACATACTAATTTTCATTGAGAATTGGTTTTGATGTGTCAAAACTCCTTGAACCCTTCTATCCACAAACTCAATTTGCATACATTTACATTTCTCTTCCCAGAAGTTTGGTTTAATACCATCTGGCCCCTCAACTTCATCTTTCATCTAATAATCATCTAGTTTCATGTACATATTTTATTTTATATATGAGCAAATGATTAAGGTGTCATATCTTTACTATATTATAAAGCATTTGACAAAAACTCTTAAAAATCACTTTTATGCGTAAAATACTGTTTATTAATGCATATTACTTAAAACTCAAGATTACAAGTAGATTGTGCGTAAGTACAACTTATTAAAGCTCCATATTTGAATTCGTGTAACTAACTACAGATAAACATAATCAAATACAACATTTACATCTCATCTTAAATATAAAAAATCTAAAATATAATTATGATAATTATTGAGTTCTAACAGAATACTTAATTATTATTTTTATAAAATGTTATATTATTAAACCAAAAATAAACTATTTCGTTATTAAACTTAAATTAAATTATAAWTAAAAAATAAAWTWAAKRAAWT